TGGGTCGATACAAGAAGGGCTTGCGTCGATGCATGATAGTTGCAAGACTCAGGATGAGTCGACACGAAGAAAGGATGCGTCGATACATGTGTGTGTGAGACTCAGGATGAGTCGACCGGTGAAGCGCATGTGTCGATACATGCTGTGTTTGAGCCAGGATGAGTCGATCCATAAGGAGGATGTGTCGACTCATAGTGTATAGAAGAAGCAGGATGAGTCGATCCATAAGGTTTTGTGTCGATACATAATGTCTGGTTTTTGACAGAATTAGCTCTTAATTGCTGTAACTTGGGTTTTAGGATGTTGTTTGATATGTCGTTCGAAGCGTTGATTAGCTAACGCGATGAGCTTTATTCTAGGCGATTAAATGATGGATAATAAGTGTAATCCTAGCAGATAATGCAGGATTTAGAATTAATTCCCGTAGATGACCGTTGTGCTGATTTTTGGACAGAACGATGACTAGTAGATGTTTAGAGGCTGGTGTCAGAATTATGACAGCAGGATTAGTGACAGCAACGATATAAATTAGCAGAATAACAATATGGATTACCATAGTATTAATATACAATTGAGTATTAGTGAGATGTTATTGATGAAGTTGCGTTCGATGATTTTGTGATAGTAAATGATGTTTAATTAATTATTTTGATGTTATGAGATGTTGTTAATTGAGATGTTGTTGTTTTGAGACGATTGAGATGTTGTTATTTCGAGATGTTAATTGAGATGTTTTGAGATGATTTGAAGTGTTGTTAATTTGGGTGTTGTTATTACATTCATGATGAGTCGCATACATTGCATTTTTGAGATGGAGCTTATGCTCGTTGAGATGGCCTGGATTGGCAAATTTTGAGATGAAGGCTATGCCTTGTTGATGCCTCTATTAATTGGCAGATTTTTGAGATGGGAGTTCTGCTCCAATGGTACCACATGCATTTGCATAGTTTTGAGTCGCATTATATGATTGAATAATGAAATGTATTTGATGTTGATGAATGAGTATATATGATGTAATTATTGTTGATTAGGAGATGAGAAGTGGTGATATTATTGATCTAATTTAATATATTAATTATCATGCGCTTTATTATATTGTTAGATATCACACCCCTTCTGTTTGAATGTTGTCCCTGTGTTGGTAACGTGCAGGTAATCGCGAGTGAAGGTTGTATATCTTCAATAGTTCGAGTCGGTGTCATTGCTCTGATATGTAACACTCGGAGGGATGAACGCTTGCTGATTTTTGATTGTTGAATTTCAGTTGTTAAGTTTTGAATTGATTATTATTAAATATGTAATATTTCAAAGTTGTTGTTTTATTTAGAGATGTTATTGAAGAATTCCGCTGCGTAGATGTTGAATTATTTTATTAAAGATGTTATGACGATGGTTCATCTGATGTTTTGAAAGTTGTAATTGCAAGCTTCTCAAGTCATATTTAAAGCATTTGTTTTGATGAAGACAACATGGATATCAACATTCAAAGGATGTGCAAAAAGCTTATCAATATCATATACAAGTCTTGAAGATTAGAAGAAGAATTATTAAAGAATCAACAAATGATAAATGGTATAAATAATTCTTAAACTTGAATATAGATGTTCACAAATATGCATTCATAATCATATACATATCCCACATTTTTAATGTTAAGAAAAACCTTGTTTGAAATCTTTTTCAAAAAGAATTTTTGGAAATAAACTTTCAGGAACCGGTTCCTACCTAACAGGGAACCGGGTTCCAAACTTGTTCAAAAAACACCTCCCTGGAATTTGTACCAGGAACCGGGTTGTACCAATAGGGGAACCGATTCCTGCGTGGTATTTTTGAATTCTGAGTTATAACGTTCTCTAAGAATCGGGTTCTGCCTGTGTCGGAACCGGTTCCCAGCGAACCAGTGCAGCTTTTCTTTTGGTTTTTGAACATATTTCAAATGGTATTCTTTCATGAATGCATTGCATCTTTTCATATCAAATGGCATGAATGAAGAGGTACTTGTGACATTATAAATGTGCAGATTTTCATATTTAAAATAACCTTCTTCAATTAATAATTTTTCATCATTCAAAGTTGCATACAAACTTTCAAGTGTTCATAAATTTTGTGAAACTTGCCATATACATTTTCCTTAAGAAATCATTACAAGTTTCATACATACATTGTGAACATTTATAATCATTGCTTGAGAATTGTTTCTATCTTGAAGAAGAAGATCAATTGAAGATTGATAAGTGCTCTCCATCTATTTCAAATAAATCATTGTATTACAAAAGAAATTATTCCCTTACTATCCAGGATTGTTGGAAATAAGTGTTGTGATTTGAAGAGGATTGTTCTTCATTCACATTAGTGTTTGTTTGATCTTAAAGGTGTTAAGAACATTTGGTCACCCTATAGGTTAGATAGTAAGCATAGGCTGTACAATCATTCTAACTATAGTGAAATCTCTTTCGTGTTGGAAAGGGGACTGGAGTACTCTCGGATTGTGAGGGGAACCAGGATATATCGTCGTGTTCTTTACTTTTCCGTTTTTATCGCTTTCATCACCATAATCAAGAAAAGATAAGATATAACCAAAACCTTCAAACACTTAACCAAAAATTACTTCAAGTATTCTCATAAAACCGAATAAATTTTTATATACCTAATTCACCCCCCCTCTTAGGCACTCTTAGACTTACAAAAGTGTTATATATCCACGATGGATGCAATGAATTTATTAGAAGAATTTGTGACGTCCCGATTCATTTGTATGATTGAAATTTTATAACTCTGATTTTATTTTATATAATTTATCGGGGTAGAATTGGGGTGTTACAGGTTACCCGGCGAATCCCCTTCATAATACTTTGAAAACCTTAACATGAATCGCACATTCACATTAACCATATCGATCAATGATATTTTATCGAATAAAGTTCTCTCATTTATTCTTGTGCACTAGAAAAACAAAGAATGATTTAGATATGATTTTTGACACATAAAATATACTATTTTTGTATCCTTTCAATGCCTAAAAAATGTCTCTATTTATAAAGAAACTTATGTCTTTTGGTGAAGAGAAACAATTCTTTAAAAGATTTTGTTCATAAATGGTTACATTACTTCAATTATAAAACATTAGGCTTTTTTTCTAAAAGGTCTTTTTTAACCGTTACAACTTTCTAAATATATTTTAAAATTTTCATTAACAACTTTCGGTTTTTCTAGCAATCCATCTATAAACCAAAAACAATGAGAGAAACCTTGTACATCTTTAGATTACCAATAAATTCTATCTCGGTATTTAAAATTATATGGACTTACTTACTTGCATAAACACTTGCGAGAATGTTTAAAAAAACTTGTGACAACAATTTTCCATGAACGCTCTGCTCTACACAGTATTTTGAAATAACTTATGAAAATAGCTTCTAACTTATCCATAAACATTTATATGATTAAGATTTTTATTCAGACAAAGTCTAACTAATCAAGGGTTTGTTCGAATTGACTTGTTTTAGTTTTTTTAATACCAAGTATTATTAATAATGACTATTCAAGAGAACTTATCAAAACATCTTATGACATATTCATGAGCAGTTCAAGATCGCCCATAAAAAAAATACTTATAGCTTAAAAAAATATTTTTATTTTATTTTATATTTTGTTATAGTAAATAGCTTATGCATAAGTTATTATATAATAAATACTTATGTTATAAACGCTTAATTAACTTGCTTATCAAACATCACCATAACAACAAAGCTTTATATCTTACAATACCCAAAAAGAGAAATCATAAAAAGAAAGGAGACAAACCCTTTATCAATTTTAGAACATATTCAAAATTTTCATCATCAACAGAAAGTGCATTGATCTTAACCACTTCCGAGTTCATCTCAGTAGTAGCCATACCCTCCCATGCCATAGATATCACAAACTTGCTTTTCATTTGGATCAGACAAAATCGCACACGCTTCACAAACTTCATTCGGTTCCGCCATTGCAATGAAAAATTTGAGGTCGAGTGGGTTTTTAGGGTTTTGCATAGAATGGTGAATGGTGAGGGTTTAAGAGTGGAAGAACCTTGGTTGCGTCACAAAAGTGTGAATCAAGACGAAATCTCGAATGGGAATAGAATGGTTTATGGAAGATGACTGAAGAGGAATAGGGATATGAGATTGAAGACCTTTGTGTCTCCTCTTCAATGACACAGCTGGATTCTTCAATCTTCCATTCTTCTACTAAAGAGATTGGTTAATTTGAATGATAATATGAGTTTCTTACTACAACTCTCAATGTGACATTTTACTACTCAATGCATTAAAGAAAGTGAAAGATTCATTGAGCCAAGACAAAAATCAATGATTCGTTTGAATATTTGAATCTAATTTGGTCTTTCCAACTTTTACATTGTAGTATTTTAACGTGTAAAAAAGAAAATCAAAATGTGTAACAAATTGACACATAAGCAAAATTTAATGCTAGAACTTCTATAAACTAAGCAATAGTTACATAATCCAAATTGCTTTTGTGGTTAAGTTAAAATAAACTTGATTAAAGAGCGGCGTATGTTGTTTTTAATAGATAGATATTAGATAATATAATTAGGCACTTTGTGAATTTGGATTAGACACAATAACTGTGTCACACAATTACTTGTCTGATTTAGAATTAGTGGTGATTTTGTGCAAGCATGGTTCAGATAATGAACATGGATGATGAAAACATAAAATCACTATTTTATTCATTTTGGCATTTACATGTATGAAAATAGCAGAAAAAATATAAGAAACAAAACATTGGCTCAATGAAAGAACAAAAAAAATTAAGAAATATGAGATCTTCCAAAATTCAATGAATTGAGAACTCACTCGGTTACAAAAACTAAATTATGCCTATAACTATGTATGAGACCAAGGGCTATGAATGAAGCAAGACCAACATATCAAACCATGTTAGTTTGATGAAAGAATTGCTAAGAAAACACTATGCGGTTGGGCCTTCGGCCTTCGTCATATGCGGCTTTCATCACTCTTAAATGGTTGAACCCAACTTTTGTCATGGGCAACAGCTTGTTTCCAGCGCTCTTTGAAGATTTCAAGTTCCCATGATGACTGTCGTCTAATCTGCTCACAGGCATGTATTACAAATTTAGACAAAGTCATTTGTCATTTGTCATTTGCAAAAGCTACATTTTGAAATTGTGACCAATGTAAAATAGATAAAATTGGATGTAGTTCAAAAGCCTCACCTCCATTCTCATATCAATTCCTGTTGAGCCGCGTTTCTGATTAAGGAACAAAATGGAATAGAAGGTGAATGTAAGATTGACAGGTTAATTAATGAAATGCAAGAATATAAAGAATGAAATAACTCTTCTAAATCTCATTAAAATGCTAAGAGAATGGATTTCACTAAATAGGTGCATCATAAACTATATTTTTAACAAATAGGCACTCTTCCCAAGAGGTCCCGTAGCTCAGTTGGTTAGAGCGTTGGTCTTATGAGCCGAAGGTCGCGGGTTCGAGCCCCGCCGGGACCATTTTTTTGTATTAATCATGTTAATTTTCCATTCTCCAACCATAACATAATTTTGGGGGCAATCAGCAAATAGACAAACACATAGTATTGAAGCAAATGAAAACAATATGGAATCGAAAATTTGGAAAGGAAGGAAGTAAATACTTTGGTTATAGCAGGATTGTTACCACCAAGAGTTGGTATCGCCTTGTGAACAACATATTCCTTATCGACAACACCCACGTTTTGACTACGATCTCCCTGAAAATGACGTTGATTTCACACTACTAATGATACTTGACATGCAGTTAATGAAGCTTAAAGAAAATGGGACAAGTGCAAGTCATTCCAGTGTAAACAAACATAACCAAGTGTTGTGGATACTAAATGGAAAATACAATGCATTGCACTCCACCACGATCGTCAAATGTCATGATGTTGGGTTGCCAGAAATCATGTAATTCTCACCTGAGCACAATATCCTAGTTTCATATCCATTCCCCATCCGTGTACAAGGTCATTCTAAGAAAAGGAAAATCATAATAATGAGTTGTCAAAACTATCGAGTATTTTGATCTATTACTAGTCAAAATAAAAAATCGAATATTAAAATTACAAATGAGATAAGATTAAAATTCATAAGAAAATAAAGTGTTGTTTCTCGGTAGAACATAAATAATTTTTATAATTCCTACAAACCATGAAAAATTACCTGTATAAGATGCCAAGTACAATACCATGCCGCTCGAGAGAAAACAGGAGCCATACCTTCGACAAACCTTCACAAGTTGTATTGAAGTTTCCAAGTCATTCATAACATGATGATTACAGATGCCACCAAAAGTATAATAAATCCTTACAGAGGAAATGTTATTAATTTGTAAAATTCTCGATTTCTCGTTTTAATACATTGACAGATACAAACCTAAAAATCCCATCCTAATGATAGAAAGATGGTCGATAACACCAATGTGTAAGACATTGAACATTGACATGCAAAAATAGTAAAACACACAGCACAACCAGGTTCAAAGAAAGTAACAGTTACCCAGTGCACGGAGGTCCATCGCTTTCATCTGAACACTTAGTTTTACCTCTGAGTTCATAGACTCGTCTGCAAGAAAAAAACTCAAATGTAGGAATGACAACCGACAAACATTTATTAGAAAGTAAAATATTGTGTTCTTGAACCAAACGTTACCGATGCACTTTCTTGGTCCTAGCTCTGACTGTTAATCTGTGATGTATCTCTGTCGAATTTGGATGAAGTGCTGGTTGAGATATCTCCAGCCCTTCTTCCTTTACAATCTTAACATATCTGCAAAACAGATGCTAACGAATTAATTAGTTCATTGATGAGAATATAAAAACAACATAAAGAATATTAATATAATATGTAACTTAATTTTCTACCATTTCTGAAGGGCAAACAAAGATTACTTAGCAACCTTATGTGACCTTAATATAATAAGGATCAATAAAACCATTAGGTATACCTCAATGGAGAAAAATATTCGACCCCCAAATCCTCATCCCAGAGAAAGATGTAATCATAAATAGAAACTATATCTGGACTTAGAAATCTTTTTGCAAACCACCTGGGAGAGAACCCAAGAACGAATAATTAAATTGAGAAAGATAAACCATATAAACACATCATTCAAAAGTATGTTAACAAAGCCAAGGACTGGTGCAGTGGCAGATTACTCAAATCATTTGTAACAAGATTCATTTGATAAGTCTTATACCCACCACTTTGTTTGATTTTTAGCAGCTATATGTATGGCCTTGCTACTCCAATCAAGATCCTTCCATCCATCCACATTGGCATCATAATGGAATAAAATAATTGTAAAACCTCCTGCGAGAAACTGAAATAATTGAAATTAGACAGAGTTCTGCTTCAAATGATTTTCGATAACCTAAAAGATCATCAAAAATACCTTTCGCACCATAGCATCTATATTTTTCTTTTGCTTGATACCAACTGAAACTGCCAACAAGCTACGGTTCGAGTAAACATTATCCTAAGAGCAAATAATCACGACCAACAAATCATTAGTTAGATAGGCTTTTCCAATACATAATAGCGAATTCTCGCCATCATTTGTCAGTTTCAATAGACCTATAATGTGAAAGAACAATGCAAAGATGTCAGCTGACCTTTGATCTTAAATTATTTGGCAACCATAAAGGCCTTAGCTCCAAATCTGAAGTGGCGTGTATTATACCTCGTGGCAAGCCTTTTAACATTCCAGAATGAGCCGCATGTGGCTGCACGGTTGCATCAATAGTTTCAATGTGAAAAAAGAATACACATCCAAGTTACATCATCAAACTGATGCAAGAATGGTAAAATAGGTAGATGTATCATGTATAGAAAAAATATTGAATGCAATCCAGTATTGTCAATGGCGGATGGTGGTCCATGGCAAAGAGCCAAAATCCCATCATACCGGACGCTTTAAGGCGGGCGTCGCTATAGCGGAATATGACGGAAAAACCCGCAATATTGGCCGATATTTACCATTGCGTCAAGCCCAAAACTGTCATGTATATCCGCCATAGCGGCTATGGGGCCGCTATTTGATAACACCGATGCAATCAAAGTCATCTTTAATATAAACGGAAGAACCTTTGTCTTAAATACATCGAAGCTCAAATTCGGAAAAGAATCAGAAAACAAATTGGAAAAGTCAAAGAAGCATACCTCTACATCTCTCCGGATACTCCGCCTTTTGTCTATCTGATAAATGCAAATGGTAAAAAAAAAAGAAATTTCAAAATTAGCAAACGAAGTACAAGAGTATAATGTCATTTACTAATGCACTATAAAATCAGGAAGCTTGGCCTGTGCCGTGGTCACCTGCCATAAAAACTGGCTTTTCAAACTAAACCGTACTAGCAACTACAATACAACAACCACCAAAATAAAACTATAGGTCTATAATGAGTTATTTTTAAAATAGCTTTCCAATCATAACAAAGAATTTGGTTGTATAATTTCTTTAGCACCACTTGACAAAATTTCAAATCAAAATTAGTCAAACATGTAATGAAAACCTTTGGCCCCAACCTATATTACATTGGTCCGAGTGAAACTGGACTCAAATCTTTCGAGCCCATTGGATGAGTTGGGAGGGGAGACCTCACAAAAGGTGGCAACAACATGCTTACCAAAAAAACTATTTGGCCCTACTTAGAGAGACTATGACATACCTCTTCTTGATTATATTGATACTTTAAAGTCCTATATACAACGAACAACATTACTGTACATGCAACTGCCATTAAAGGCAGCCTTTTGATCTTCAAACTTGGTTTTCCCTAATCAAAGAAAATCCAAATGAAACATAAAAAACTGTTTACAAAAACAAAAGTAATGATTTTGAACAAAAATAGGAGAGACAAACCATCAAACAAGAGACTCTTTTCTGTGATTGGCCACCTCCATAATTTGTTTGACTTCATAGAAAAGTGAATCCTTTTATTCAGTCTTCATCACAAACTGCTTGCTGCAACATTAAGTTTCATAACCTATTTCATCTTACAAAACACACATAAAACTCATGCACATGTGAATTTCACAAAGAAGCTTACAATATAAGCAATGATTAAAAAATTGCACTTTGTTGCTTAATCTTGTAAAGTAACCAAACCTTAAAAAAAAAATAGCAACAAATGAAACCAACAACATGAAAACAAAGGTGCATGGAATAATTGATTTCAATCAGATGAAGCCCTTTGTAAATTTTGAGTGTTATTACACGCCATTGAGATTAAAGTTTCATTTTTTTTACAATGATAATAAGAAATCGAAATATTATTTTAATCAGAGCGAAAAACAATCCCCTGAATCGATGTTCCGAACCCAGTAATGGAAAGGGCAAGCGTGAAAAAACGAAAAGCAAAAAAGTTTGAAGATGAAAGGACATACCCCCAGCTAGATGCCAAAAAAAAAAATCGAAATGATGCAGAGAAAGAGAGAGAGAGAGAGAGAGAGAGAGAGAGAGAGAATCGAAATGATGTAGAGGGAGATATATGATATGCATTCGTGGCTAATGCCCATGGAATCTCTCTTGTTTTCGTTAGTTTGGCAACGACCCGATTTACTGTAGTGCCATTCATCACACCTCTACAATAATTACACGCCGACATATAAACACAAAAACTTATTTTTATTAATTAGGTATAAATTCATTTTTAATAGATTTTAACCTTATTTGGTCTTTAAGTTTTCAATTTGATCTTTATGTAATAAAAGTTATATTTAAGTACTATAAAAAATATTTGTTATATAGGTTGGTCTAATATGTTAATTTTAGTGTGAAAATGTTAAGTTATGTGATCTCACAGTTAGCAGGCTTATATTGCATATGTAACTTAGCATATTGTATTATATATTTTATTTTTCAGTCTTCTTCATTTCTTTTTAGCTTCACGATTTAGAGCAAGGTATTTTGTTCTCCTTCCTCATTCCTCTCTTCCACCCGTCTTCTATTTCATCTTTGTTTACGTTATCCTTTTTCTACGGTTTAGGATAAGGTTTCTTCTACTTCATATTTGTTCACGTAAATAATCTTTACAAAGTTTCCGTGAAGATGTCAATAAACTTCAATAATTTCTTAAAATTAAACATCTAAAGTGGTGGGTCATTTGAATTTGTGGTGATAAAAAACAAAAGGATGAATCGTTGGTGCCAAGAAGAGTGTGTGATGCGTACTGTTACAGATTTGAATAATGTTAATGTTGGGGAAAAGTTTTGGGACTGTAGGAATTACAAGAATTTATTGGAGAAAAGATGCAATTTTTTCAAGTGGGTAAGTGATGAAGTTGTTGATGGAAGGGATTTGAAGATTGAAAGGCAAAGGAAGAAAATTTTGAAGTTGAAGAATGAGGTGTTGAGCATAAGAGGACTATTGAAGAATGCAACAGTGTTAGCCATAATTAGTCTAGGGCTTAATTTAGTCTTTGTAACCCTGTATTTGAAATAGAGTTTTTGTCAATGTTATGATAGCATGTAAGATTCATCAATCTTTAATGAAAAGTTTGGTTTGTTATATCAGTGTTTTTACGATTACTTCTGTTATGTGTTATTGAATGAAACATTTGAAAAAATTAGGGCCTGTAATGTTGCAGTTATATGTTGCATATAAACATAAGGACCTATAATGTTGCATATAATCATGACACAAATAGAATAAGCCAAATAATTTGCATTATAAAACCATGTGTTTTTTGACACTAATACAAAAGGGCATAGAAGCCTAATAATGTGTTTATTGACACAAAGTTACAAAAAGGCATAGAGTCAAATGATGTGTTCGTTGGTACAAAGTGACAAAAGAGCATAAACAAAAGATAATTTTGTGTTCATTGATGCTAATATACATAAGGGCATCAAAGCCTAATTCAAGTTGTAGTTGCCTCTGGATGAATTGCTTCAGGCTGGCTAGGACCATGTTGAATTGGTTCAGGTTGAGTGGTCTGAGTTGATTCAGGTTGAATATTCTGACTTGGTGGTGGCAGTTTGCATGTTGATTTGTTGTGCCCCATCATGGGGTATCTACTGCACTTAATGTCAAAGTTCTCCCTCTTAAGTTGAGTCTTATCCCTGATACTTTCAGATGGATCTCTGGTTCTCTTCTTTTTGGGCATTCCTGACTGCATCTTGATAGGTGGTGGTTGTAATTCAACATAGTTTTTCTTCTCCCACAGATTCTCCCCATTGACTGGAAAAATAACAGATGCATAACATGCCTCGTACACTGTTTTTTTGTAACATTCAGGCGCAAAGGTTTCGACATTCAGTTGTTGTGATTTCATGTAATATATTGCATGACAACATGATAAACCAGTCAGCATCTATAGCCTACAAAACCACTTCTTGGTGGACAGATTCACAACATATTTTCCCCCATTATTTGAGATGTGTCTCACCTCATAATCAAACTCACTTGCACGCCTGCAAGAACACATCAACAGTTGTCACACAATTTAATGGATAATTTACACAACACACAAGTAGTTCAACAAATACCTCATAATCCATTTTTTTGTTGGATTCTTTTGCAATCTTTTTCCTAATATTAGGAAAAACATCACCTTCATATTTAGAAATTTTCTTCCTGTTTGACTCCCACCTTAGCATGAGATATACCCTGATATTGGGCAAAACATAACCTTCACATTAACTTCCATATTACCTTCATCCTCTGTGGTCCCCTCAATATTCTTCTTGTCTCCTACATTCTATACATTCTCATCATTTATCTCTCCTTTATCCATTATGTATCCTATCTCATTTTTAGTGCCACCGATAGCTACATTGTAATCAAGTGACAGTATCGGTTCCTCAATAACATTTTCTTCTTGCACAGGATGCACAACATATAAATGGACTTCCCCAGTCAACTCAGTTATTGTTTGCATCCTCATAGTTCCTTTGTCATCTTTCAACTCAACTATGCTATTACACTTCATTTGGTCATGATACCATAGAGTCTCTATACTGGGATAACCTAACTCATTTAACCCATCTAATACCTCGAATTAACTCTAATGATCAAGATCCACATCCTAGATTTCTTCTAATCTATTGTACCTTAATTTCGTTAACTCACAAAACAAACCACATTTATGAACAATGCAGACAAAACAGTTATCCATGACCTAGAAATGGAATATATAAAACTCTAAATGAGAAATACAGTTAAAGGTTACAAAATGGTAAAAAAAAATTGCATTAGTCATACCTTAAAACAGATGGTGGAAGTTCTTCGTGTTACACAAACCCTAAAAATGAAGATGACTGAAGTATTAGTATGGTGTATGAACGAAAATGGATGAAATATACTCAGTTAACAATGGAGAAATGTGATACCTTTGTGCACAAAGATGAACTTGGATTTTTCTCTTGAGCAAAGATGAACTTGGATGAAGATGACGTTAGGGTTTTCACAAAGAGGTAAGAGGAAGAAGTGAAATGGAAATGAAATATATGGGTTAAGATGAAACGTTTAGAAGACAATTCTTTTTTATTCAAAGTTGATAAATTTAAATCCATGTCACCTAACTATACCAAGTTGGACTGTCAACATAGCAAAAACCAATGAAATAACATACATTTTAACAGAAAATGACGATATTAGTTAACAGAAGTACAAATACGAGACCTAAAAGTAATGTTTATTATATAAGGGACTGAACTGAAACCTTAAATTAAGTTAAGGGACCAAAGGATGCATTAAGCTTAGATTTCATGTAAAAAAACCTAAACTAAATTATGAAAATGTTTATCATATAATTGAAAAAGATATTTAATTTAAAAATAACAAATAAAGAGGTTATAAGATATTAGCTAACAACAAAGTTAAAAATATGGAGAGTTGGAAACTCTATCGAATCAAATGCGTCATGATGAGATTATAAGATGGTCTACACAAGAAACAGTTGTTTGGTAAATTATATTTGATCTCACACTTTCAATTTTTTCGACCAATGAGAGATAACACTTTAAGGAGAAGGAGAAGTAAATGAAAATTATGAGTCTTTCGAAAGGTGAGGATTCTCTCTGATGAATTTTTCATTGGAGAATATTTTGTGCACATCTTTATTCTTCATTGAAATGAGTTTCTCCCTAATCAAATGAAGGGTTCAAATTTCACAATAGAAAATGTACATTGTAGATAAGTTGTTCATGTCTTCTGAGAGATGATCATATTAAGTACAATAAGAAAATCTATCTCGGCGAGAAAGAAAGAGAAACTATCGCTACTCATCGTTCTCAAACCATTGCCCAGGCCACATATCTCAATCGAAACAGAGGTTTGTCAATCAGGGTTACAAGAAACATTAGTAACATGAATTCCATTAGAGTCCCTAGTTAGGCACTAATAAATTGAAAGCCATGTACTACTAGAGTAGGATTCATCGATAGTAAGCTTGAAAATTTTAGTATGAGGAGGTTTATATTTTACATTTATTTTCTGCTTCTGTTGCTCAACATGGTGGATGATAGAAAAGATGATGATGAATATAATGTAGGAAGGTCCGCCTCAAGGGAAAGGCAAGCAAGGCCATTGTCTTGCGCCTCACTTTTTTGGGCTATAAATCAGGTCTCCAAATAAAAATGGATTTATCCTGCCACCCTCAAATTGACCTGACACCCCTCACATCCTATGTATTTACCATATTAACCCTGTCAAATATAAAAATTTCATTTCACAAATTCATAGGAAGGTTTCAAGTTTTTTGAAAACCTCTAATATTTTTTGTTTATACAATTTTTTGTGAAAAACATGCATTTTTACCATATATTTTGAAAAACGGGTAAAAACTCATGTTTTCCATGCATTTTTATTGGATATTTCGTAATGACCGATAAAAGTGAAAACATTTTTTCGGATCTTTTGATAAAAATGGTAGAAATGAATGGTTTTTATTGTATATTTCAAAAAATTCGGTAAATATGCATGCATTTCTATCGGTTTTATAAAAAAATCCAGAAAAAAACATTTTTTACCGATTATTTTGGAATATTCGAAAAAATGTATGGTTTGTACCAGTTATTTCAAAAAATATGGTAGTTCAAATTTTACTATTTTTTCAATGATGACCAGAGGATCAGACGAAACGATAGCTTCTCAACGGCGTGATAGAGCTAAATTTGTTGTAGCGAGGGCTCGTGCGAGGGGAGATGATGTAGAGGACTCGCATATTCGGGCAGGGAGAGTTATCCCGACCGATTCTCACAGGAGGCAGATGACGGTCGAGTAGTTTCGTGCACCCCATAGAATCTAGCATAGAGGATCTAACCTACTTCTGGATAGAGTAAAGATTATTATGATGAGCGTGTTGCTAAGGATGTTCAGGCAGTAGTTCGAGATGGCATGTAGATGGTGGCTAAGACAAAGGTGCCACATCCTTCGGAGACGACATAGGTGTCTCATCTTTTTGAGACGGAGGCTCCAACTACTACAGAGGTTACTCTACAGACGACTACTGAGACGTCTTCTACGGATGATGTGGAGGTTACTCCTCTGGTTCACACAATGGTCACTGCTCCGGCTTCGATGAGCCGTCTTACACACGGATGAAGGGTTTCTTGGATGGCCCAATGATTGTTA